AAGATTCCACCTGATCTCCCTGTAGTGACGGCAGTGATTCCCTCCACAGCATTCTCCACCCAAGATCTCCTCGGGACACACAGGTGCGCAGGCACATAGCAGAATCCCCAAGATGGATCCCACTAGTTAACTGAATCTGAACTCAGAACCCAGCCTGAAAACCATTTGCTGACTGTTAGGTGGCACACTGGACCTGAAAATTCCTGAAAGGGCCACAGCTAAACTTGGTAGCCTTCACCTGGACACTGTGTCACTGCCCCCTAATGAATGGTCTCTAAAGTTCTCAGTTTTTTACTGTTTTATTTGTGCTGCTTGGACTAACCAATGAGCTATGAGCCTCCCCTTTTATCTTGAATTCTCCCCTAGTGAATTTCTGTTGACAATAGTGATAATTTTACCACTTTGCCTATCAATTCACCACTCCTAGAAATACTGTATTCAATTTAACTTTAACAAGTTCTCAGGCTGCCAAGGATTTTAGGTGTCAACAAATGACTGTAAGTCTGAGTCCTGCAGGCAGCAGGTGATCACTGCAGGACTCCAACCAGTGATTCCATGGCTTGCTCACAAGTCAGAGAAATTTTCTTGTGACTTGAGCACACCAAGTAATGGGACATTACAAAGAATATTTAAACCTCAGCCAGAGTTCCAGGAATCATCCAGGGCTATGGAAATTGAGATAGAGTCCACTGTCCACCAGCCCCAAGAATCACATGGCATTGCTATTTCCTTCTACAGAGAATATAACCACTAAGTCAGATGATGGAACCACAAGCAACACATACCAAAAAAAAAGCTACATCCTAAAAAAATTAAGCAAGTTTCATAAATTTATCTACTATCATAATATTCTCCCAAAAGAAATACAAAAATGTTGTTTGTTACTCAAAAACTAAACTATCCAAGTTTCTATTCATGAGTTAGATATAAATGACACTGATGCTGCCTCCATGCACATCTTATATGCACAAGCATATCTTATCCTAAAGAGTAAACAGGTAGAATTTAATGAAAGCTACAGCACAGATAAGAGATAATATACATTTTTTCCCACTTTGTGATTTACAATCTTGGAGTAAATTTTTTATTGCTGTGCTATTAATGAGCATATAATAAGTATGTAGTTTCTAATTTTAAGCTAATTAAAATGCTAAATGTTTTTGTGAACTGCACTGCTATAATCATTGATATTCATTCACATAACACTACAGTACACTGATTTAGTTCAAGTTGCAGAATCAGCCCAAGGCTCATCAACAGATGAATGAATGAATACAGTATGGTATACATACACAACGGAGTTTTACTCAGTCATAAAGAAGAATGAAATAATGTCATTTGTTAGTTAATGGCTGAAACGGAGAACACTGTGTTAAATGAAATAAACCAAACTCAGAAAGTCAAGGGTAAAATATTCTCTCTCATATATAGAAGCTAGAGAGGGGGTAAAAAAGGAATAAAAATGAGATCTCATGAAAACAGAAGGGAGACCAATAGGGTAGAGGAAAGAATTGGAGAGGGAGAGAGCAAAAGAGGGCATGGGGAAGTCCCGGGGAACAGAGTCTAACAAATTAATTATGTCCCTCTGTGAATAAATCACCATGAATCTCACTCATATGTACAATTATGATGCACTAATTTAAAATAATAATAATGAGAAAACAGTAGAATACAGTAAGTGGATGGGGGAGGGAGGAAAGGAGTAGAAAATATTGGGAGTGATACTGATCAAATTATGATATGTGCATATATAAATATGGCATAAGGAATTCCACTATTATAGTTATAATACACCAATACAAATAGTAACAATTTTTTAAAGTCAAATGTTTTATGCTTCTATTAGTATTCATTCTAATATGTTGAAAATATCCATTATTTGGAACCTAATAATATTTTTATCTCTTTTCCAGCCAGCTCCCTATTCCCTTATTGAAGATTAAAAGTTCTAATGGACAAGAAAGACAGTATAAAAGGACAACTGAACTAAGCACTGTGAGGATCACACAATGATATGCAATGCCTACATCAGACCACTGCTTTCAAAGAGTTAAAAACACTTAAGCAAAGTGTTTGACTCTTAAGCAAATAGAGAAAGGTTTGTAAGCTCATTAATGAATGATCTAGGGAAGAGCATTTTGAGAAACTGAACATTTACAGGCATTTTTTAGAGGATGAGAGAAAGAGATTGGTAGATTACATAAAAAGTAATTATTATCCTAGGACACTAATATCTTTATAGTTATCTTTCATACCTGAAACAATGCACTCATCAATTTAGCAGGTAACATCTCAGTGTCTCAATTATAATCAAATAGTAAACAAGTAAGGCAGCTGTGGGAGCATTCTCCTAGATAATTAAGCAATCATAGACACCTATTAAACAATGCCCTTGTAGAAGACTGAGAGGTCACCCTAAAACACTCTTTGACAGTATTTACAGTGATACAGAATTTTTCTTAGCATGATTTAAAAGAAAAATTAAAGCATATGCTTTAGAATTCAAACTAGGAAAAATACATATCTATATTTTAAAGAAACATATTATATTTGGTTTTATGCCTTTCAGAAATATGCAGAAATGTATAATGCAGCTTTTAAGAAGTTATTCAATACCAACAGCAGAGGCCTAAGGCAATTGGCTTATCAGTGGGTCCCAGAGGCAGGTAGAAATAGGTAAAATTTAGAAGACACACTAAAAAACTTTTTGTGTTGAAATAACCCTTCAAAACTTCTAGAAAAATTAGTGAGGGGGAATATCCTAAAGTTCATTTCATCTTTGTTATTTAGAAACCTGAGGCTACAGCTAAACCCTGGATCAATTACTACCAAATTGTTTAAGCCATTTTACACTTTTATATTCAAACTCTGTTTTTGATTTAAAGGGGAAAATTCACCATAACATTTACTCATTCAAGGAGAGTTTTCTGTCCTTTATTAGGTATTTTGGAGTGATTTGCTCTCCTAATGAGGTTAATAACATTTATTCTCCATTATTTCTACGCCCACAAGTCATACTATCAGAATGGGATCCCTAAGGAATTATCAAATGACTTTTTCTAGACTCTGTGAACCTTTAAAGCCACAAGCCATTTAAATATAATCTTGACATTTGAAGAACCATCAACAGATTGACCTTATTATCTAAAATGTCTGTGGCAATATAAATTTATTTTTTAACATTAATTTGAATACTAAATACAACAAAATAAAAAGAGGGTGATACATGAAAGCTAGTGTTGATATTTACAGAGTCAGCCAGAGAGCCACAGGGAGCTGAGCTTAGAAACACATTCACTGCAGGCAGGTGTACTGCCCCTCCCCAAGAGCACCTGCACTTGTGACTCCTTAGCAAGAATGCTCAGTGTCAGAGGAGGCACCCTCTTGGGTTCCAGGAAATGCAATACCAATGAAAAACAAAGAAAGAGTAAAACAACTAACAATGTCAGTATCACACAATTAAAACTAAGGAAACAGGAAAGGCAGCAAAGCCCTCTGCTCCTCTCATGGCAATGGTTTCTGAAGCCACATTTCCTCCAAGTAATAGTGACCTCCAGTGACTTACTTTTTAATTGTACTTCAGTGACTGTGGGTGGAATTATCTGACAATTTGTTTCTACAAACAATTAATTAGTCTGGTTATTTTTAAATCTCTTAGCAAAATGACAAAGCTTTCTTGCAGGACCTTAATGATTGGGTTTTATGTAAATGCCCCATTTTAATTAATTCATGGAGGTGGTTACACAAAGCTAAGTTAAAATTGTGTCTGAAACGCAGGTTGGCATTTGCATGTTCATTTGTTGCAGGGACTCACATACACTATGGCCTTAAATGAATGGTGGAGGGGTAACTTTGCAATGCTTTTCCCTTCAGGCTAAACTTTCCCATGATGACAAAGCTAAATCTGGATACATGGCAGCAAGGTCAATTCTGAACATGTCTACCAGCACTTTCTTGAAAGTCACATTAATTTGTCCTCCTGCCCACAACTCGATTTAAAAAAACAAAAAAAAAATTGAGGAGGTATGGCAGAAGGGAGTGAAGGACATGAGAGACTTAAAAAATTCCTCAGGTAAGGGGCTGGGGGTGTGGCTCAGCAGTTGAGCACTCCCCTAGCACTTGCGAGGCCCTGGGTTCGATTCTCAGCACCATATAATTATAAGTAAGTAAAATAAAGGTATTGTGTCCAACTGTAACTAAAAAATTAAGTATGTTTTAGAAAAAAAAAATCCTCAGGTAAAGAAAAGCCTGTGATGGAGACCCTTAAACTTTTTAAACTTTGTTTTTAAATCGTCAGATTAAAATGCCTTGAGGTCTGCTGAATCTATTTGGCTAGCAAACGGAACCCCTCAAAATCAGAAGCAGAACAAATCACAAAATACAAGCATTTGAACGTTTAAAACCTGAATGGCAAAACGTTTTTCCTCTAAGCAAAAGCCCTCTCGGGAGAGGGGCTGGAAGTCTCCCAGAACATGCCACGAAATCTAGGTACCCTGCTGCTGTGCCTACCAATGCAGCACCAGAGTTCTCTGGTCTGCCCCACTCCGCAAAGCGCCAACTGCAAGGATCTACGCTATGCAGGACAGAGCCAGTTCAGCAGTTGTTTCTCTTTCTTACAGAGTTCTTACAAAACGCACTTATAATGAAACGGCATCAGTGATGGCACTTGCAAGCTCCTCTCATGTTCGCTCCCCTCATCTCATCTCTAAATATCCTCATGCTAATTTTAGGTTTTACAAGAACTTGCGCTTACTCAAAGAATATGCAAAAAAAGCAGCCTAGGTCTGGGGCCATAAAAGTCAAAACATGTTTCGTATATTTTAGATGCGACAAGAGGGAAAACAATTTTAAACCATCCTATCTTACCGGCGGGACTTGGACATATTTTTAACGCTTCGTTTTCAGAAACAAGCCAGCGTTACATTTTTAAATATTTATTAACCCTAACAACACAATTTCTAAGTTATCAATATAAGTTTTAAAAGCTCTACTGTACTCACAAGTATTCCCCGCCACCACTGTGCTGCAGGTCTGCGCAGACAAAAGAGCGAGCATCTTGAGCAAGGCTCCAGCCACAGGGTCCATGTCCACACTCTCTGGGGCTTCCCCACCCCACCCCACACTCAATATCTCGCTCCGTGCCCAGGTCTCCTGGCGCGCGCCTTTCTTTCCTCTTTCTCCAGCCCGCGCAGCCTGACGCGGCGCGGAGGTGGAACCTGCAGCCGCACCCACCCAACCCGCCACTAGGCGCTCCTCGCCCCCGACGCCCGCGGAGCCGCGCGGTCCAGGCTGCTCTGGGCCAGTGCTTCCAGTGTGCCGCTGGCACTCCTAGTGGTAAGTAGGGGAAGTGCAGACAGGGACCTCAAATCACACCTGGCTGGCTGCTGGTGATGCAGGGGAGGGGTGGCTACAGACCTACTTTCCTGGCTAGTTTGCCCTAAGTTTCCCCACACAATATGCTCCCGCTAATATGAACAATTCGATATACTTCAATTTAAAGAAGCTAAGTATGAGTGGTACTTGCTCATTAGCATTGTGTCTCCACATAGTATTGAGGATGGATGGTAGTAAGTCTGTAAATATTTTGAGTTGAAAAGAGGTTGGAACAGAAATAACTAAAAGAGGTTTGAAGAAAATGATTATACATAATAAAACTTGCAACAAGAATATTTTTGTCTTCTCAGTTCGTTTCATGAACCAGATTTAAAAAAAAAAAAACACTCCAGCTGTAAGATTTTTATTGTACATGTTCCTACTTGTAAACTTGAGAGTGATGGTCATTATGTATATAAAAGAATTATGAATTAGTATCCTAGGAGGAATAATCTTAGTCCAAATTCCACAACAGAAGAAGTGACCTTACACTAAATAAGGGGACCTGACAGATTTAATTAGTGAATGAAGTTTGGTGAGTTTGTATTGTTGCTTTCCACTCAGCTTCTTTAAAGTAATTTCCCTAAGGGACATTTTGAAAACTAATAGAATTTGAAGGTAAGGAACTGAGAGAAAAATACGCTTCACACTCTAAACCATCCAGAAGACTCAAGGAAAGACAGAATCAGGGGTTTCAAGACTCATGACCTTGAAATAAGTTAGCAGACCTAGAGGCATCCTCTACTTCCTGAACAGGCTGTGAGCAGAAGCAAATGAAGGAGTCATGAACTGGCGCCAAGTACAAGATTAGTGAATGCAGCCTATGGGAAGGTGTTTTAGTCAGCTTTTGCATCACGGTGACCAAAAGACATGACAAGAACAGGAAAAGTTTATTTTGACTCAGTTTCAAAGATCTCAGTCCATAGACCAACAGCTCCATAGCTCTGGGCCCAAAGTAAGGCATAATATCATGGCAGAAGGGTGTGGTGGAAGAAAGCAGCTCAGGGCATGATGAGGAAGCACAGAGAGCTCAGCTGACCAGGGACAAAATGTGAACCCTAAAGGTAAGTACCCAGTGACCTTACCTCCCCCAGCCACACTCTACCTGCCCACATTTACAGCCCAGTTAATCCGTATCTGTGAATTAATCCACTGATAAGGTTAAGTGTTTTAGTCAGCTTTTTTGCTGCTGTGAATAAAAGGACTGGACCAGAACAACTGTAGAAGAGAAGTTTATTTGAAGGTTCACGGCTTCAGAGGTCTTAGTCCATAGAAGGTTGGCTCCATTCCTGGGAGCTCAAGGTGAGGCAGAACATCATAGCAGAAGAGTGTGGCAGACAGAAGTAGCTCACCTGATTATCAATAAACAGAGAGAGACTCCACTCACCAGATACAAATATATATAAATCAAAGCCATTCCCCCAATGCCCTACCTCCTCCAGTTACCACTCAGTTAATCCCATTAATTCACTGATTGGGTTAAGGCTCTCACAACCCAATCATTTCTTCTCTGAACTTTCTTGCATTGTCTCAGAGGTGAGCTTTTGGGGAACATCTCACATCCAAACCATAACATTCAGGCTCTCAGAACCCGATCATTTCACCTCTGAAACTTCTTATATTGTTTCACACATGAGCTTTTGGGGACACCTCATATCTATGTATATATTCTCACTGCATACACAGATCAGAAAATGAAAGCTCTTGGGCATCTATCTGCATAACTTGGTGCATCTCTGCAAGCCCAAGCATGCTAAGAACATGAACAACTGGATGGCATCACCAGGGAGTATGACCTGCTTTTTAAAGCCAGCAGCATTGATAGCACTGATGAAGACCCACACCACCACAGGTGTGACAGGCCATGCTGGAGCAATATCCCCCCAGTAAAGACGTCACAAGAGAACCCCCCACCATCACCCCGTTTGTGGCAAGATTAAACTTGCAGACCAAAAAGACAGGTTAAAGGAAGTATTTTCCCACTGTGGTGACATCTGGCAGCTCCAGGTGGTGAGGGACTTGGTCATGAGCTTCTCCAAGGACTATACCTTCACAGAGTACAAGAAAAAGCTTGAGCTGCTGAAAGCCTATCTGGATGCCAGTGGCCTGGTGATACACCTGCACGTGATATTAGTGGACCATGAACTGGAGCAGACTCTCCAAGGGTGGATCCCTCCGCTTCTGGGGTGGGAGAACTAGGAGGGAAGAAGGAATCTGGGCAGTGGAGACTTGGGGAAACCGATTGGCCTTTTTGAAAATATGAATTTGCTGGTTTTTAAGTACCACCTCTATAGAGAAGGATAAAGAGTAAAGGAAGGAGTGATCCCAATACCAAAAGAGACACTAGGACTCCTGGACAAAGGATCCAGACCAAGGACAGGGGTCAGGAAGAGATGTCAAGAAAGACAGCCAGCCAGGGTGTAACATAAAACTGACTGGCAAAAAGAGCAGGACCTTAGGACAGAGTAGGAAGTAAGTAGAGGCCCAGCAATAATAGACCTGAAAAGGAAGGGACAACTAAGTAGGAATGGCAGGGTATTTGCCTTTATGCATTAGACATACAAATCTGTACAGTTGAATAAGAATTACTGATAACGGGGGGTTGAAAGATTTTAAACCTTTACAAGGATCACACTTGCATGAAAACGAATCAGAAAAGGTGTTTTTATTATTGCTATTTTATAGTCAATAACAATAATAATAACAACACAGGACTAGATAATTTAATAACCTGCAAAGGCCACAGAGCTAATACTAGGTGTGCTGAGAACTCAGTCAAAACATGTAGCTTCAAATTCCAAGTTTTCATTTGCCTTTACTCCTACTCAGGGGTTCAGAGAGCAGCCCTGGAGTCAGGAAAGTTCCCCACACCAGAGATCAGCAGTCATGGGGAAAACACCGACAAGAATATCCCAGGGAAGATGCAGGAGGTAAAGTGACTTTCATTCATTAATCAGATGCTTCTGCAGTATCTGCTGTGTCCCAGCATCTGATTATTTTATTTTTAACTTTTTACAGCAAACATAAATTAATGATTTGCATTTAAAGTCTAACTTTTTAAACCTATATACCAAGCTCTGCATATGTATGTGTGTGTGTGCACATGCTCACCAACACACACACACACACACACACACACACACACAGCTAGGTATACACCAAATAGGGGAAAGAAGTTGAAAGTGGAATAAGCCTCCAAAAAAAGAAGAAACCAACAGCTGATGCTCAGAGCTGTGTGTCACTCATAAGAAGAACTGTAGATCAGTCTTTCCCAAGTGAAAACTAACCTCGTGGCATTTCCTGACCAATGCCTCCAGTCCTCTTCACACAGCTGGGCAAGCCCAGGCACTGAGAGACCTGAGGACCTGCCCCTGAGAGGAAGAAGGATCAAGTTGGTCAGCTACAGTGAAGCCCTTTCTAAGGTTCTCCGCAGGTTAAACATGACTCCACTCATTTCCCTTCTTCATTAGTGATTTTCTTCCCTTAGATTGTTATTTCTGCATGTCTTATTTAAATCTGAAAATGCATTTAAGTTTACTCTCACGATGAGAGCCAATTTGCTATTAAATCTTCTGAAACTGAAAGCACTGCAAATAAAATATAGTATTATTTCTATTAAAAGTAATTTTTCCCAGAAGCCCTCAAGCCACAAATCCTGGGGAATGGTTACCAATAGACAGCCTCCAGAGAGGATAAATGTCCCTTTGTGATATAGAACACACAGCTCAACCTCTATTTGGGTTCTCTCTGATGAGCTGCATTCTCTATAATGAGAATTTATTTAAGCTGGGGCTTAAATAACCAACAGATGATGCATTCAATTACATAAATCTCAATTCTTGAGAAGAGTTAACCTCACCTTTATTTCAAATCCAGGCTGCTTAGCCCAGGAGGACCTTCTATAACCAACACTGGTGTCTCAGACAAGTAGGCTAAACCTCTACTGATAACTTGAAGTATACAAACAACACTGCATGCATATTTTGAAAAGTGCTTACAGAAACATTTTGTCTGACTATGTGGAAACAGACACACAGGCACATTTCCTGGTGTTCTATAGAAATAGAACCAGAGATGCTTAGAATTAAAATGGAGCTTAGAGTTGGCAGGCCAACTCCACTCAAATACTACCATGTCCCCAGTGTGGTCCTTGATGCTGTCTATGTATGACAACCACTGGCATTTCCCAAGTGCTCAGACAGGTTTACCAGAGGAGGAGGAAGACACAGAACCTCCTTCAATCACAGCATGAAGACTATCACTGACATGACCACAGAGGATTCCAGGGGAAAGATTCTAGTGTATGAAAGACATAAAAGGTGACTCTGATTTTTTTCACTCCTTCGGGAGTAGGAAGAAGGAAGCAAAGTTGTGTGTATCCTTAAAAGTACTTTTTTTTTTTTTCATTTGAAATGCAATTAAAATCTAGCTCGCACAATGGCACATGCCTGTGATCCCAGCAGCTTGTGAGACTAAGGCAGGAGAATTGCAAGTTCAAAGGCAGCCTCAGAAAAAGCGAGGCGCTAAGTGATTTGGTGAGACCCTGTCTCTAAGTAAATACAAAATAGGGCTGGGGATGCAGCTCAGTGGTCAAGTGCCCTTGAGTTCAATCCTCAGCAACCCCTCCCCAATAATAAAAAGGTAAAAAAAATTTAAAAGTGAAATTAAAATCCAATCTCGACATAAATAGAATACTGAGTCATCTTGAAGAGCCAAGGTTTCTAAATGTAATTTTATAGATGAAGAATGTAAATGGTAAGTCTTTCAATATAGAAAGTTTAATAAATATCACTAAATAAGTTTGGATTGAAGATCTCATTTACCAAATGGAGAAATTAGTTCAAAAACAGA